TGTCTTTTTATCCAATTATCAAGCTTCCTCCTCTTCCCCATCAGCAATCACTGATTGTATTTAGCTGTTAAAAACGCAGACGGTGTAATCATCAGTGTGTTCTTTGCTGGGGCTGATCTCTGGCCGGGCTGGAACAGTTTAATAATGAGCACCCCTCATCCACAACACAGCACATGGAAGTGTCAAAATGGCTGCATGGGTAGGAGGAGATAAAAGGAAAATTGCCCAGAGAAGTGATTGGATGCTTAAAGCAATTATGGTGCAAATAGGAAGCTGCTGTGAGTTCATGTGGTCCAGCTGATACTCAAAGTTGCCTGGGAGGCCTGAGTTCATAGCCTGCCTGAGCAATGGGCAAATTAGCCTTGGGCAAGTCATTTTCTCTCACCCTTAATCTTTCATCAGCTGCCTTGATCAGACAGGAGATAACAGAGGATGGCACACAGTGGTTAAAAGAGTGAGTTGGGAAGACCTAAGCTTTAGGCTTGCTGCTAGATTTGGTTATCCTCACCTTTAAAATGGGGGTCTACTTTATAGGCTTGTGCAGAGGTTACTACCGTATTTTTCGCTCCATAGGGCGCACCTGACCATAGGGCGCACCTAGTTTTTAGAGGAGGAAAACACACCAAAAAATATTCTGAATCAAATGTTGCACTAAACTATTTAAAGCAGCAAAGCAGGCGGCTCCTGTCCACTTTGCTGCTTTAAATCAAGCCTCAGAGGATGGTAGGAAGGGGAACCATGGCTTATCTAAGTCCAGTTAATAATGCTGAGCCTGACTTATGGCCATCGAGATTAGCCTGGCCATCTCAGTGGAAATCTGGGGAGGCTGAGGTGGACTTTCCAGTGGGCAAAGTGTGGTTGTGTCTTCCTGCCCGGCATCTATTTCCTGCCCTCTTTCCCTCCTGCACCCCCGCACCCTGCTTCGAGGGAAGGAAGCGGAGCCATGGATCCTCTGCTCGCAACTGCAGTGGATTCCCTCCACTTTGAAGCAGGAAAGTGGGAGAGGAGCTGCTTACACGAGTGTAAGCTGCTCCCCTCCCACTTTGCTGCTTCAAAGGGAGCCCAGGAGGAGGGAATCCGCTGCAGCCGCAAGCAGAGGATCCATGGTCCCCTTCCTTCCCTCTTCTGTGATTGCTTTGAAGCAGGAAGGTGGGAGAGGAGCTGGTTACACGAGTGTAAGCTGCTCCCCTCCCACTTTGCTGATTCAAAGGGAGCCCGGGAGGAGGGAATCCGCTGCAGCCATGAGCAGCGGAGGATCCATGGTCCCCTTCTTTCTCTCCTCCGTGGTTGCTTTGAAGCAGGAAGGTGGGAGAGGAGCTGCTTACACAAGTGTAAGCTGCTCCCCTCCCACTTTGCTGCTTCAAAGGGAGCCGGGGAGGAGGGAATCCGCTGCAGCTTCCCCCACCTCCCGGAGAGCCCGCAGAAGCCGCCAGCTCTTTAAAGGGGCTGCACAGCTTCTCCTGGCTTTTCTGGGAGGTGGGGGGGATTCCCCCACCTCCCGCAAAACCGGCAGAAGCCGCCAGCTCTTTAAAGGGGCTGCGCGGCTTCTCCTGGCTTTTCTGGGAGGTGGGAGAAGGGACTGATGAAGCCAGTCAGTCCCTTCTCCCTCCTGGGGATAAGCCCGCAAGAGCGCACGAAGCTTGTGTGCGGCTCTTGGGGGCTTTTCCCGCCTGCCTCCTCCCTGCATTCGCTCCATAGGACGCACACACATTTTCCCTTGCTTTTTAGGAGGGAAAAAGTGCGTCCTATGGTGCGAAAAATACGGTAATTAAGTTAAGCACTATGTGAGTTCTAAATCTGATTAGAAGTGCTGTATCATTCATGTTGTTGACATGAGGGCAGAAAATGGCTACAAGGTAAAGAAGGAACAACATTTTTTTTTAAAATACTATTTAGTGCTCCTATGTGGAGTTCCTGTGAGGCTAGTGAATGTTTGACCTTTTGGCAGTGGGAAAACGGATCTGTGCTGTGGCTACATCTCCCCCCCCCCCACTCCGTGGCTTGAAATAAATCCCAGGATCTTAACTCTCTAGCATATTACATTGCCTACCTGAAACTATTTTACTCCCCATCCTGGCAGGTGCAGTTACACTTTTGTTTGTTGGCAGATCTTAACTCCTGGGACAACACCCCCAACCTGTGCTACTCACGTTGACAATAGCTTCTTTTGTCTGGGCCATGTCCGATATCACGCCATCAGTGATGATGAGCAAAACGAAATACTGGGAACCATCCTGCACAGCTGCAGCGTACCTGAGTTTTGGGAGGAGATCATGAGAATTTAGGAAGAGAGCCAGGAGTGTTGTCAGGGTGGTCTGAATTCTGAACTAAACACTCCACATTCTGAAAGACATATGGTCTTGTAGTAAGGTTAAAGCTTACTGGGAAATCATATATAATGAATTGAAAAGGATGTTTAAAATAGCATGGTTATGAAGTAAGGAGAATTTTACCAACCCACATTTTCATTAGGCTATGCTGGTTATCTCGCTTCGTGGTTTGTAAGAAGCTACCAGAATGTCAGCCATCCAAATATGCCCATAAGAATGGGAGTTGCATTCTCAGTACCTGCAGGTCATTTCCAACCACACCTAGCATTTGTCATGCTTTGTGACGATACCTTGCACTGATGAGACATACCTAGCCACGTGGTTAACCACCGGTGCAAAGTTAGTTGGACCATAGAGCTGGACGGTCTTGAGGCTCTGGTGATAGGCTTCAAGGATACCTTCTATTCCACTACAATGCGGATTGTCAACATTGCCATTCTGCAGAAGAGAAAGGGAGAGGCAAGTGAAAGTTCCCCAGGCAGAGTGGCTGATTCCTTGCCCTTTTGGGATTCCCCACCCCAGTGGTGGAGCTAGCTGCTCAGGCACCCGGGGGTGGGGCGATCCATCCATGGGGCGGGGTGATCTGCCCTGGGGGCGATCAGCGTGGCAGCAATATGCCCGGGGAGGATTTTGTCACCCCCCCCCAGGGATGACACCCGGGGCGGACTGCCCCCACTGCCCCCCTTTCTCCACCACTGTCCACCCCATTCTCAATGTTTAGCTCAGCTGATGGATGACCATTGGCAGAGATCAATACACTGGCTAGAGGAACTGCTAGCTAAGGGAGTGCAATAAATGTCACCAATCAGATATTACACTGATGCAAAGGGAGCTGCCTCTTGGGATTTAGAGGGACAGCAACAGCAAATGAAAATGATGACTCTTCTTTGCATCTGAAGCTCATGACAACTTTTCAAAGAGAGACAAAGAAACCAGCCCCAAACTTATCTAAGTCAGTCCCAGGACTCTCGGATGTTCCTTGCTAGGTAAGCCTTCAAGGATGAGACCATCACATGAGAAAGCAAAGGTGTATAGTGCAAACCTATTCATGTTTGCTCAGAAGTAAGTCCTACTATGTTTAATGAGGCTTGCTCCCAAGCAAATGTGTATAGGATTTTAGTCTAAAAGATTTAAGGATTCTGCTATTGGTGAAAAGTTCCTGCTGAAGGAGAACATGGGGAATTTTCCTTCATCAGGGAATGTTGGCAGATGGGTCCCGTTTGCCTGCCACTGGATTCAATTTGAGGCAAAGTATAAGAAGCTGTTTCTGAGGGCTGATTCCAAGGAAAGTGTCAGTACCAAGGGGAACTCATGAGACACACGCCCATCTGGAGGAATTTTTGCTCCAAACCCAAGTGCTGGGAACATTTTGTCACTGTCATAGTCCTGGATTATCTCGCCAACAGCCTTCAGTGCCATTGCATAGGCATTGAGCTGGTATGGATTCATGTAGTGAAGGGAAGTAGACTGAGAGGGATTCCCTGCCAAAGAGAGAGAGAGAGAATGAATAGTAGTTGGTTCACTGTCTGGTAGGCTGTAGTGTGGCATTCATGAGGTCTGCATGAAGCCTTAGGAACAGAGGAAGCTCCTAAGATGTATCCCACCTTCCAAGGTTGAAGATACAACACACTTACTCAGAGGTAAACTGCAGCGAAAGTGAAAAAACTTATTTCTGACTAGGCACATATGGTATTATGCCTCTAGGCTACAGTCCTACGCAGACGTACAACTAAACACAATGAACACTTTTGAGAAAACATGCTATAGATTGCACTGCAGATTTAACAACTTCAATAAATACGTGCATCTCCAAAAAGAATTATTTAAACATTGGGAAATCAAGTGAACAAAAACTTAACAGCAGCTCTGCGAGACATCTGCTATAAAAAACTTACCATTGGAAGCTGTGAAGTCAATGGCCACTGTGAAATTGATCTGCGTCCTGAAAAAATGTCACATCACATTACTTAGACTGATAAATCTATAAGCATTTTGATTAGCTCAGAACCTTTGAGTGGAATGACCAACCCAAGTGAATGTCTAGAACACCACTTATCCATCTCTTTCCTGGCTCCTTTCTCTTTCCATCTGTCTCCCACAAACCTTGCATTTTGTAATCATTCAGAGATGGATTTAGTTTTTGAATCTCTCTCTTTAGAGTCGAGAGAACATGCAAAAAGACAGGTTATGCTGCCATGTGCCTTCTACACACACTTGGCCACAGCAATTGTCAGATACTTTGTGAGCAACCAATGTTTCTATATTATTTATTTTATTCACGGATTCCACCTAATACCTCACACTGTCAGGTTGGGGTGGTCCCGAAGGCAACCTGGACAAAGTTCTTTATTAAAACAAGGAAACAGTTCAAAAGTAAAATCACAAGGTTTTAACCAACTAAGTTCCACTCAGAGAAGGCTCCCTGGAATTAATATACAAAAGTTAGTATTGCCCATCAATATAAATGGGTCTATTCTGAGCAGAACTAATACTGGATTCAACCCACATAACAGGCACACACAACAGATAGTGGCATCATATTCCTTGGGATCCTCAACAGCCTACAATTATCAATGTTTAGCTTTTTGCACTGTACTGGAGAGCAAAGCCTGCTGGACATAGTGGGGGCTTACTTCTGAGTAAACATACACAAGACTGGGTGTTAGAGTTCCTGCATGTTGGTACAGATTCCTGAGAAGAAGCATGTTTGACACGGCCATGTGGTGTCAGACATGTTTCTTCTCAGGAATCTGTGCCAACATGTGGAGTCTCTCAAATATATGTGAGAGCAGCAGCCTCTTGCCTTTGAAAATGTGTCATCACCACAAAACAGTAAAGTAGCGTTATAGGGATGGGGGTGCTGAACCATCCATCCTCTTCCCATTCCTCCTAACCCTCCCACCCTCAGTTTTTTCCATAGCTGGGTTAATTTATAATATTGGAGCCTAGCTAGAGCTAGATGCAGTGGGGAGAAAGGCTATGGGGAGGAATGCAGCAGGCAAAGAAAGTGAGCATCCACTTATTGGCACCTGGGGGATTCATCCAGCACCCCCCCCATAACTACATCTGCTTGGGATTGCTCCCTAATCCTGTGACTTTACTACTGTTCAGGTTGAAAAACAGAAGTTTGTTTCTTCATATATAATCCCATCTTTCCAGGGGGATACAAAGGAGCTAATCGCATGGCAAGCTGTTCTCCACACTTCCATTTTATCAGTTCAGCAGAAGCCAAATGGGAATTTTAAAGATGTGGAGCCTCGATTCTTCTAGGCCACCCAGAGTAAGAGGATTGCACATTTCTCGGCTGCTTCCCTTCCTCCCAACTGCAACAGCTCCAAGTCCCAGAAACTTCTGATGCTGTGAGTAAAGCTACCATTGCTGGACAGTTTTTGGCTAATTAGGCCAATTTGACCAAATCCTGCCATCTTTTCATCTGGCATTACAACACACATTTTATACCCCAAATGATAGACTACAAAACCATAACCAGGCAAACTGGGCTGCCTGGGTTCTCGTTGACTTGACCAAGGTTAAACAAAACTGAACTCTCCAAGTCCTCTGCTGAAGCCGCTGGACCTTGGCTAGAGTGCCGTTGCTCTTGACATATGAGAAGGGAGGGTTGGTAAAATACCCCCAATTAATACACAGACCAAACATGCTGCTTTTCATTGCAGGATGTCAGTAGGCTGAGAGGCTCCCTTGTAACATCTTTCTTTTAATTCAATGATTCCCCAGAGCCTATTTGAAAACTAGGGCATGAATGCAGTACGCACCACAGCCCAGCCACTTTATCTTCTTCAGAGGCACAGCATAGTGCTGAAAAAGATGAAATTCTTCTTTTCCGGGTGATAGCTCACTGTTAAGGAACCTGTAGCCCAATTCCTCACACAGCAACATGGTTCTGTGTTCTGAGCGGAGGTGTACCTAGGCTCCCTTGTGCCCTTGGCAAGGAGCTGTATTGGTACCTCCTGACCCTTGCACTCTAGGCGAGGAGATGTGCCCAGCTGCCCAGAGCAGCGGAGGAGCAGCCCAGGGAACATGCAGATGGGCAGGCAGGCTCCTAGTTACACAGGGCCAGAGTGGAGAGGTGTGATTTTGGAGGGCCCCTGGCCCTGTGCCATCGCTGGGTGCCAAACTCACCAATCCCTAGGTATGCCCCTGGAACCGAGTACTATGGGGCTTTAGGCTCCTAAGTGTATTCACCTAGGGTCACCAAGCTTTTTTTGGGGTGGGGGTGTGGACACATTTGCAAAATGGATATGTTTGTTGTGGGCACCACACCTCTCCCTTCCCCAATGTAACCTTCTTTGGATTCCACATAGGCTTGAAGTAACTGTTCTACTGGTTAAAGAAGGCTTCTTTCAAGCTCATTTTGTGGTGGGAGGCAGGTGGGGATGGTCACCAGGGAAAACCTTTGTTGACACTTCTGTACCTGTGGCTGCCATGTTGCTGGCACATGGGGTACAGAAGGTCAGCAAACTTTTTCAGCAGGGGGCCGGTCCACTGTCCCTCAGACCTTGTGGGGGGCCGGACTATATTTTTTTTGGGGGGGGGGGAATGAATGAATTCCTATGCCCCACAAGTAACCCAGAGATGCATTTTAAATACAGTGATACCTCGGGATGCGAACGGGATCTTTTCCGGAGCCCCGTTCGCATCCTGAAGCGAACGCAACCCGCATCTGCGTGTGTGCGGGTCACGTTTTGCCGCTTCCGCGCATGCGCGTGATGCCATTTTGACTGTCTGTGCATGCGCGTGTGGCGAAACCCGGAAGTAACATACTTAAATACTTAACTTGAAGCACATTTATCCCGAGGTATGACTGCAAAAGCACAATTCTACTCATGTAAAATCACCAGGCAGTCCCCACAAATAACCCAGAAATGCATTTTAAATAAACGGACACATTCTACTCATGTAAAAACACGCTGATTCCCGGACCGTCTGCAGGCCGGATTTAGAAGGCAATTGTGCCGGATCCGGCCCCTGGGCCTTAGTTTGCCACGGTGTACAGAGTTGCCAGCTTAGGATTCCACCGTTGCTGCATTACATTGTCTTCAATAACTGATGATAAACCAATACTTATAAATGTCAGGTGACTGTGTCAAGTGGCGTTGCTAACAGCACAGCACATCAGTTATACATTATGTTTTCTTTGTCTTACTAGGACTGGTATGAAGCAAGTCCCATTTCTGGGCTCCATCCCAGTGGATGAAGAACAGTGGTTTAGAGGACAGCTAACATTAGTGCTGATAAAAGGGATGATTGAAAAAGTTGCCTGCAGACATTTCTCTGGCAGCCTTCTCAGATGAGATTCCAAGCCTGTCATCTCCTACCCTCAGTCAATATCAGCTGCTCCCATGACAGACCCTTCCTTCAGATGTTGTGCAACCACCGTAATGAAAGAATGCGGCTGTCAATGGAAGATAACATTTTAAACTTCTGGTTAGATAGGCAGAGACAAGGCCAGTGGGAAAGGACTTTTTGTTTTGCGGCTGAGATCCATTGGGGTACCAGAACTAGTGCAGATACATGGAGTGTGATCCTCATCTGCCACTATATATAATACACAGGCACACACACATACAGGCAACATGGGCATAAAAGGGTGGGTGGGTGTTTAAGAAGGTTGGAGTTAAATGGCAATGGTATGGTATTTCCTTGGAGATTTGAGGATAAGAACACAGGGACATAAGAACCCAGCTTTTGCAAGGCTCCATGTTGTCCATCGTCCTGTTTCCTACATTGTCTGTTAAGAAGTTACTGGGAAGTCCAAAAGCAGGACTTGAAGGCAACTTCTCCCACTGTTTCTCTGCATAAATACCTCTGAACCTGGCTCACAGGCATTGATAGACATATTGCTGGACCTAAGTGTAAATTCAATACTAATAAAAAAAAAATACCCTCTATCATTAAAGTATTGCAAAAGAAGTAATAAAGAAAATGAATCTTTGCCTAGCTGGCTAATGACTCTCCAGCACCAGTCTGTGAATGAAACAAGCTTAATTTATGGATCATGCAGAAATGGCAAAACTTACCAGAATAATAAGAAACTAGGATAACAAACTTTTTATAAAGGAATGGAAATATATTGAATATTTACACTCAAATTGCAAACAGATAAAAACACTGGCAGGACTATTGTAATAACCTGCAGTTTTTAAAATATAGATATATGAAAATAGATGAATAAAAGAAGGATTTAATATAACTTTATATATGTAGGGAATTATGATAAAAAAATTAATGAACTGCAGAAAGAGGAGGAAGTCGAGTTTTGAAATGTTTGATTTACTGTTAAACTACTACTGCAATGTATATAAAAATCATAAATATATATATATGAAACAAGCTTGGTAAAATAGTCCTGTTGGGAATCCCAGTTCACCCCCACTAAGTGGGAGGGCAGATAACTCAAGAAAGGAAAGGAATAATTAACAAGCTATTAAACTGGTGCATAATTAAATACCTTATTTTGAGATGAAATTGATGGAATTCCGGCCCATAAAAATGTTATGAGAGGAAACACATTTAATTCCTTGTTTGGGAGAGGTAATAGAGCTCTGGCCTTCAACGGATGGGAATGCCATGCTCTGTAATTCAAGGAACGTGTGTTTGCTTGCTGATGAACAATTCTGACTCTGCTTCGTTACGGAATAAACTGTAGAAATCTCTGTGACCTTTAAGCTTTTTTTTCTTTTTTAATCAAATCTAAATCTTGTTCTTTTAGGAATTCTTCTGACAAGTTAATAAAGGCCTAACAACCTGATTGTTGTTAAGTGCTCTGAATGAACTTGTATTGATTCCGAGAGTCTGTTGCCACTCAAGAGGAGCAAATTGATCTCTGGCAGAATCTTTTGTGACTGGACAGTGTTGCTTTCTCGCACGAGGAGGATGCTGAACTAGTGTACTCTGGGGTGGCTGGAACAGGCAAAGCCAACACAAATGCCCATATCTGAAGGCGAGCATCACGCCTAATTTCTAAATAGAAACCAGTGCTCGGCTCTGCCTGGAAACCATAATCCCTAATACTCAAAATATGTGGGAACTTGTCAGGGATGGGCAAACAGAATTGTTGACAGGACAGATGGTCACCAGGAGTCTGACAGTGCTGTAAAATTGGTTCGAGATTTTTCTTTTCTTTTCATTCTGAGAGGCCTACGTCAAGCAGCCGCTTTTGGTGTAAGATAGTAAGTAGTTTGGCTCTATCCTCTAAGATGAAATCAGAAAATAGTACTGACCCAATCTCTGCTGATCTAATCATCAGCCATGCCTTCTACTCTTTAGTTGCTTGTGTCTTAAAGGTCTTTTCCAGACCAGGATGCCCTTCTTATTTGCAGCAAGTTTCCAGACTACCAACATGTTTAGGTAATGGGTGGCTGACTCTGTTTTTCTTTCTCATGCATCTTCCCAAGTACAGATACCTCCCCTCCCAGCACATTGATATTGTTAACCATCTTTAATTCTTCTCCATTATGGGATTTCGGCAGCAGTTGACTTTATTTTTGATGTGCTTTGGTTTCTCTATTACAGGCCACTCTGTTTCCCCCATAGAAGGTTGTCATCCCAGGAGATTAACATATTTCTTTTGGGAGATCAGAATTTTATCTGTTAGCAAAGACTCCATCAGTGGAACTTTGTGATGCATTTTATATACTTCCTGGCTCTGCAGGCTGTGCACTTTCCTTTAGGTTTTTGGTCAAATCCCTAGAAGTTTCCACCTAATCTCATGAGAATATAAAATGCACCTGCTTGTAGAAGGGTTAT